AGCATCCATGGATTTTGGTATCCACGGGAGGTCCTGGAACCAAACCCCAGTGGATACTGAGGGCCTACTGTATTGGTAAGACAAAAGCACAAGATTCCCACCCCTGCTACTTCATTTCTGGACATACTTAGCTAGGACAGGGAAATCTTGCACTCATTCCAGCTAAGTAGCCTGGCATAATGCTTCTGGGTTTTCTTCACCACTGATCCATGTCAGTCTTGGATGACTTTGGGCCACGGTTGGAGCTACAGGGGAGGGAGCAAAATAAGAATGTTGCCACCCAAAAAAAGAATCCCTAAATTTCCTCCCAGTCCCTAAATTTCCAGCACTGTGATAACTTAGTAGTAACTAAGTAGTAACTGCAGTAACTTGACCACAGTAATAAGAAGAAGACTAGGGATGGGAAGGGCAGCTATGAAAGAACTGGAAAAGATACTGAAGAGCAAAGACATACAACTGAGCACTAAAGTCAGAATTGTCCAGGCCACTGTATTCCCAATTACCATGTACAGATGCGAGAGCTAGACAGTGAAGGAAGCAGACAGAAAGAAAATCAATTCATTTGAAATGTGATGCTGGAGAAAAGTACTTAGGATACCATGGACATCCAAGAAGACAAGCAGATGGGTTCTTGAACAGATCAGACCAGGGCTCTCTTTGGAAATAAAGATGATCAAGTTGAGACTATCGTACTTTGGCCACATAATTAGAAGGCATAGATCACAAGAAAAAACAATAATGCTAGGAAAAGTAGAGGGTAGAAGAAAGAGAGGAAGACCACAAACCAGATGGATAGACTCAATCAGGAGGTTATGAGGAAGGGCTTACAAGATCTGGGCAAGGCAGTGGAAGATAGGGAGTCTTGGAGATGTCTCATCCACAGGGCCACCATGAGTCAGAAGTGACTCGAGGGCAGCTAACAACTTAAAACTCCAGCTGAGCATTTAGAAATAAATACATCCAAAGACAAGGGACAGGCAGAGTTTCCAAGGGTATGCAAACGCAGCAAATATAAGAGGTAGGAATGGTTTTCAGTGTCTCACTCTCTGCAATTCTAGAAAGTTGGGAAGAAAAATTTCAAGAGGAGGCAGAATTCTTATGGGGGGGGTTGCCCTCATTTTGTGTGTGTGTCTCTCTCTGTTTCACAC